TTGTTTCCATGGCGGGGGGCGAGCGCGGCCATGACTGACCAGGTCCCCCTCCATTGGAGCAGAATATTGACCGCTCGCTACTGTTGTCTCTCTCCCCCCAGTCCCAAATCCTGATGGCCACAGACGAATAGAAAGTTAGTCTAGCAGGGAAATCCACCTTACCCTGGGGGAGCACGAATCAAGCAAAAGTAAATTGAAAGCATAGAAGAATCGATTTCACTGGAATGATTTTGTAGGAATTGCTTGTAAAGCCCCCAAAAAAGGACGCGCGTCCCTTGTCCTAACTCTAACACTAATCCTAATCCAAACCTTGACGCGATCTGAACATTAACCCCCTAACGATAATTTCTTTGAAATTTGACGTAAGCCAACCTGCAGTACGAACGTTTCCTGTTCCTTCTTCCTGTTGTCTCAGGCTAGATCGGGTTTCTACAGCAACTTAGCTTGCTCCAAGATCTACTGCGGTTTTTCTAGACTGTCGCTAGGTGAAAACTTGAATCTATCAGTCTTTTCTACTGTACAACTTTCCCTAGGGGAGGCCTCAGTAATAATAATAATTATAGTCGGATGTACGCTATCATCCTCCCTACACGCACCTGAAGAAATGTCTCGACTAATGCGCGGCCTATCATATCCGAGGCGAAATTGTGATCTGTTAATGAGACACGGTGACTGCATTTTGAGGCGACCAACAGTTTCAGCGAAGAAAGTCGAGAAGATATTGCGCCCGCACGCAGGGGCTTAATGACCACTGGCGGGACACGATTAAAATAACAGGAAATTAAGGAGCAGCCCAAAGATCATCCGGAAACTTAACTTGAGTGGTTTGGGGGAGAGAGAGGGAGATGGCGAGTGTGAGGAGAGGGGGGGGGAAAGAGAGGCTGGCTAAAACCCCTCACACACAATTTCTCCTTCTGATGCCCTTATTTAGCCTCGTCCACGCACGCTTGCCGATGAAGGAGGAGAAGGAAAAATCGAGTCGCGTGTCTGTGGCGTTACAAGCCTGGTGCCATCATCTACGACCTCACGCACATAGCCCAGCCAGCCCCGAGACCCTCACTTAAAACTCTAGTCAATTTACGCCTGTCACCAAACCCCCGCGCATTCACACATTCATAGGGAAAGGGGGCCCGTCAGTTGGACGCGAATCCGTGAGGGGAAACCGCCTGCCAAGGGCGACTTGTCAGTCTGCCCTCCCATCCACGTACTCAACGATAATTGGTTGCACGTGCGCGGCAATCCACACAAACGCTCACGCACACCTGAACGCGAGTATTGAAAGGGCCTACTCAGCGAAGTGAACGCTACAACTGCAGGTTTAGGTTTCACTCTCGAAGTTACCTATCAGCCCAGCCAGTTAATAGATGAGGGCGGAAGCTGACTCGCTCGGGGGAAATAATTACTTCAAAAACTGCTCGGTCTGTCGTTCTTGTATTGACAACCCTGACTCCAAACGTAGTCGGAGGTCTGTGAAGGTGAGGAACTTACTGGAACACGTTTGTTTTCTGACTGAAGTTTCGGCCGTTTGGGCATCCGTCGGTTTCCATTGGGTGGTTTTAGGGCCGCTAAGTTCTGCCCTGTTCTTCATCTTCATCCTCATCCTCCTCCTCCTCCTCCTCCTCCTCCTCCTCCT